AGTCATGCGTGGCCGTTCGATTTCGTTGTTATCTTTGCCGAGAATCGAGTTCGACACATCTCATTGATCAAATTGAAGTATGGCCCTTCGCTTCGGTAAACTTTGCAGTGGTATTCGAACTCCCGCCGTTCTCGTGCTGTCGGCTCGATTTTTGGCGGCGATACGATCGACTCAACACCTCTTTTTCAAGTCGGCACGCGACTTGAAATGTTTCAACAAATAATTATTGATGGGGAGGGAAGTCGGCAATACTCGGCTCAATTTCATCAAGCTTTTAGTTTGAGAACCTGATAAATCCGAAGAATCTAAAATATGACCATAATGACCATATGAAAATATGAATAGATAAAATATAATCTAAAATATGAATCTAAAGTATAAATGTCGACTTGTACACGAACGGTTTCTGGAAGAGAGAAATTTCCATTTTCTTCTTGAAATCGAGATGCTGCTAAGGAATCATGACACTATTATTTCAGGCATCACACAATGGATTTGAAAAGACTGTTCCAGTGCTGCTTAGCACATGCTCTCCAAATATTGTGTTTAATATTATGCAGTGACTGTAGAAAATGGTGATAACAGAGTTTGTATTACAAGTACCACAATGTGAAAGAGAAACTGTTGCTTCGCAAAAGTACGCAGACCATTCTGCAAAATTAAAACGACAATCCAACAAGAGTAACTCGCTAACTATAACTACTGAGAGAGTTTCTCGTCATATATCCATACCATTGTGTTTCTTGTTTCTTAGCTACCGCTTAAACTTTCAAATAAAAAAAAAATTCTCCTCCCCATTACTTAAACCATATGTTTTCGACAACATCCAACAGATTGCCAAGAAAAGAAGTCACTCATTTACGATAATCTTCAAAGGCAAGTCAGTCATCATTACCATTAACGACAAGTTTCAAATTGAGTAAATCATCACTTATCGGAGTTCCCATAAGCAAAATTGAAGGAGGCTAAGTCTTTCTCGTTGTCATCGGAACTTCCTTCCTTCGCATTTGCGTCAACTATGCGAAATGATTTTCGCAAGGTCGGTCGCAAGTGCGCGGATTTTCAAATAGCTGACGTTCGACAAAATCGTGTTGACGTGTTGTTATACGAATGACAACTGGCGCTGTAATTGCGACTAAAGATGCATATCAGATCGAAGTGCCTTCTGCAAGAAAACGACACTTACCGCATTTGTGGAAGCTGATTTGAGTAATATAATATAGCTAAAAGATATGCAGATACTTTTGCGTCAGAAAGAATGGAAAAGAAATTTCTAGAAGGTTGCGGTTCTACATCGAAAGTCACATTGATGTGATCGTAGGATGTGCTATTCAGTTCTCAGATTGGACAAGCTCGGGTTAAGGGGTTGCCATGCTGCCATTGTTCTCATCTCATGCAGTATTCAAGAGAAGTGAAGAGGCGACTCAAATCCATACACCGCCTGACCACAAGCCCCACATGGTTCCCTATCGAGGCAGCGTAAGTTATTTAAACTTCTTTTCGAACTCCTCTTCAGATGATTACTTTTAGCGCGAGGTGATTTCGATACACGTGGGTCAAGCAGGGGTGCAGATTGGCAATGCTTGTTGGGAGTTGTATTGCCTAGAACATGGTATCCAACCAGGTAGTGAACAAGATCTCAAATTTGTTGCATCACTTCAAAATAGAGTTTTTTTCAATTTACCGTAATGCAAACACTGTCCGCATCGTTTCAGTTGAGTTGCTTGAAATGTTTGCTGATAATACTAGTTACTTTTTTCTAACTTGTATTTTTGTGGTACAAATAAGGCCAGGATAGAGTGTCCAAAAATGTGATCATTGTTTGACGGGCTGTAACTTTTTCAACCTTAATTTTTTTTCTAAGCCTCGATGATTTAACTTATAAGGCTAGATTGAACTTAAATTTCCGCTTCAAACGGATCTTTTAATTCTTTTCATTTGGTAAGTATACGGTATGAATTCGCTCCTGGCTTTGATGCTGCACACAGCACTGTTGGCATTGATTCAAGGATAGTTCTGAAAGCGCTGGAAATTGTTTAGTGGCGTTAGTACGGTAGTCTCAACCATGGTAACCACTGGCTGTAAGTGTTGTATCAATTGCGAAGAGCGATTAACGGCAACGCTAGTGTCGTCCATAACTCTATATCTTAATCCTAGTAGAATCCAGAGCAATCTTTTATGACTGGAAAAAGTTCAAACTAGCCTTTCAAAATAGACTACATATTTAAGCCTAGAGAAGTCAAAACATTCTAGCAAAGAAAGGCACAAATAATTAGGGTCCTATGCATACTAGCAAGTTGTACAAGCTATTTTCTATTATTTGTGCCGCCACTTGTAATTGTTTGTGTGTTGGCAGCAGTGACTCCAAAAATTTAGTAATCTTTTTTGAAATAATTCTAAGGGTATTTTTCATTCAAATGTACCGCCTTTTATCTAGGCGGGTGGCATTTAGTTTTTAGTGAGTTGTACCTGGGATATGGGATTCATTCATGTATACATTTCCTGTTTTCTCTATTGCTCTTATTTATCAGATACCGCATGATAATGCTGTTAAAAAAACTTAAAGTTTTTTTTGAAGTTATTTTTGTAATGTTAGCCTTCTCGCAGCTGACTGACATATCTGTGGTGGAAGGTTGCCTTTAAAGGTAGCCTTTTCAACTTGGACAAGCCCTTACGCATTACGCCAATAACCAATA